ATATCAATATTTCGTGTTAATTTCTTCCTATGTGTATGAAAAATAATGGTTAAAATTGAAATATTGATTTCTCCAAGTCTCGAAGTAATTTAGAAATATTTATAAATATCTTACAAGAATATTCAGTGTCCAGTAATGACTTTATAATGAGTGTTAATAGTTGGGAATGTTGTTTCGTGTAGTATATTTCGATTGAAGTCGTATCGGAAGGTTGAGTAAGGACAGTAGTGGGGGATAGCTTCAGAGCCTCGAGTGCAGAACCACACGATCCGTTCCCTTCGAAGTCTCGAAGACTAATGTGCTCGGGGACGGTCGGCCCCCTCCTTCGTACTGTTTCGGCTTACGAATCGCGTCACGGAGAGCGCGAAATTCAACTGTAATACTTTTAGAGAATTTAAATTTTCCGCATAATTAACTTTCTATTATAATACCGTATAATTTATTAATTTTTACTTTTATATTATAAATTTATACTCCCAACAATTTGTTATAATACTACATACAATTATATATACATTTTTGCAATTTTGAGACTAAAATCACTATAACCTGTAGTCATTGACTGAAAACAATCATAGTAAAAGTAAAATTATTACGTCAGACAATTTCGCATACACATCAAAAGTTTATTCAACGATTGTTCATTGTAACATCACGAAATAATACGTACCACATATTTTCTCTACTTTACAGTAAACCTAAACTTCTATTTTCACGTATGTACAATAATAACAAGTACAATAATCCCCGGATGACTTTCGCAATTTTTTCTCGGGCTGCGTGTCGCAAAGTTGTCGCTACAAATTAATTCTTCGAACTGCTTCGACCGCTCGCGTTCTTCCTGACACGCGATCTGCGATACTTCAACCACGAATGAGTCATCGGAATAAGAAAAGTAAAATTTTAAATTTGTTAAAACATTCTCCGACACTACAATCACGTGGCTGTATCTACTTAAAATTATCGAGCTAACAAATTCAGCGTTATTCACCGTTTTAACCATTCTCATCTGGCGTGATTAATGAAAACCCGACTTGTAAAGCGTTTATCTTTCCATAAACTATCGCCCGTAACGCCGAACGAACCGCTTCCTGCAAATTTGCGTAATTATCGCGTGTAACTAATTACACAGATCAGCGTTCCCCACCTGCGTAACAAATAACGTTTAAACAAACTTCGTAATTCGCGGTGAATTAGAAGCGCGTCTCGCTATCAAGTAAATCGAGGCTTGAACCTCGAATAGATTCACCTGGTTCTGCTCTCTCTTTCGTCAAATTTTCAAAGCATTAAGACGTTTCCACAGTGGAGTATTTTATTTAAAAATCTGGAGAAAATTGAAATTTTTAAACTTAAGTGAAAATGAAGAAAGCATTTTTTTCTTATAATGTTATTAAAATGAAGTACCATAATGGGTGTTTTTTTGGTTAAATGTTAAAAGAATATTAAAAAAGAAAATTTGAAGATAAGAGAGTTTGAAGGTGGAAAATTGACGTGAAACTTTGTGGAAAAATGGAAAATTGACGTCTTCGTAAAGTCATCTCAGTGTTTTGGGCATTTCCACGAAATCTCGATTTAGAAGGATACTAAAAAAATATTTAAAAAAAAAATTTGAAGATAAGAGCGTTTGAAGGTGGAAAATTGACGTGAAAATTTCAGGAAAAATTATAAAATTCACGTCTTCGCAAAGTGATCTCAGAATTTGGCGAATTTCCACGAAATCTGGATTTAAAAGAATACTAAAAAAGAAAATTTGAAGATAAGAGCTCCTGAAGGAGGAAAATTCACGTGAAAATTTGAGGAAAAAATGGAAACTCGACGTCTTCACAGAGTGATCTCAGAATTTTGCGAATTTCCACGAAATCACGCTTTAAAAGAATACTAAAAAAGAAAATTTGAAGATAAGAGCTCCTGAAGGTGGAAAATTCACGTGAAAATTTGAGGAAAAAATGGAAACTCGACGTCTTCACAGAGTGATCTCAGAATTTTGCAAATTTCCATGAAATCACGATTTAAATGGATATTAAAAAAGAAAATTTGAGAATAAGAGCTCCTGAAGGTGGAAAATTCACGTGAAAATTTGAGGAAAAAATGGAAACTCGACGTCTTCACAGAGTAATCTCAGAATTTTGCGAATTTCCAGGAAATCAAAATTTAAAAGGATATTAAAAAAGAAAATTTGAGAATAAGAGCTCCTGAAGGTGGAAAATTCACGTGAAAATTTGAGGAAAAAATGGAAACTCGACGTCTTCGCAAAGCCATCTCAGAATTCGGCGAATTTCCGGAAGCTCAAGCTCTTCTCGCGTTTCGCTGGAAACGGGGTCGACCGCCGTTCGCGAGACACTCTTGGTAATTTCAATTAACGGAATAAATTCGCAGCGTGCAAAGTCGCGCGGGACTATTCAAAGCATCCAGCAATAGACCGTCGCGACCAAGACCAAGACGACGACGACGAAATTTCCCGACCAATTGAAGCGTGATGAAAACCACGCGATACATAAATTTTAACGAGCGGACAGACTATCGCCACTGACCAGAGACAATTAGGACATAAGGATGCAATTGATCGATCTTTACGAGATCTCATTGATGGAACAGCGGGAAATATTTCAACCATATTTCTCCATCCACTTTTATCCTATGGTTTACGAGATGCTCGTAAACTTCTTATATCACGCATCGCTGTATAAAATGTTCGAGTTTTAGAGAGCTATTCTGTAGAAGCTGATAAACGTTATCGTGCTATTTTTAAATTAAAATTTATACGCTTTCCAAGTGCACTTTTTACGTACACCGTATCATTCGTGACCACTAAGACACTTGTTATATTTGCGCGGAATATACTGCACGATTTAAATGACATTTCCTCATCGAAGTTAGTACGAAACATCAGTTCAAGATGTTAGTTTCCAACGTTTCATAAATAAAAATATACAAAGTTTCACTATTTTTTAGACACAATACCGAGTAAATTTTCTTAAATTTTAACCCTTTAGCTACGGCACATTTTAATACCCAACTTGTGTCACTGACGGTAAATTTCTGACCGCGATTGCAAAATTTCTTATTTTGGCCGTGTCGTTTTAAAATTCATTATATTAAATTAAGATGGAAATGCGTAAGGATAAAATTAAGGTGAAAGCTAAGTGCGAGCGAATTTTCAAAACGCCTATAAACGCCAATAGTAACAAAAAGGATAATAAATAATTAACAACTTTCTACCACAAAAAGTGTCACTCTAATTGTTAAGCCGTATCCTGTAGCCGGATTTATGGCAGCGAGTCAAGTGGTCGCCGTCGCAGGTAAATACCGTTTCCTCAAAACACCACAAGTGTTTATTGCGTTGCCTGCGACACTGACCCTGCCATAAATCCTGGAGTCTGCGAAGGGAAAAATAGAAAAGTGGCCCGCGACTTTTGCCAACGTCGATGGTCCTTCCACCGAACACTTTCTCCGGTCATTGTACACCCCACCCGAAGATAACGCGCTAAGGGCGAAATGTAGGGTGGTTGCGATGCCCCGGAGTACACTGATTGGTGATTTTAGAAGAGGAAAAATAGGAGTCACCGTCGAGGGAAACCGCGGAGACTCCGGCAGAAAGACTTCGCACCTCGCAGAATAGACTCTAGACCACGAAACAAGTCAGAACATAGACTGCAGAAATAAAACTTAGCGTTTCAACCAAGAAACTGGTCCTTCGTAGCCTTAGACCGTTAGTCGGCACACACGTGCAAAAACCCTACCACTAGTTTCCCCCAAAAATTTCCCTCAGCTGTATCACTCTTCCATCAAACTTACGATATACCTACATTTCTCTAAATCCAACAAAAAATTACAATTCACCAAAGCTAACAAAAATTCCTCCAAAACTGTCGAATAGTTCAACAACGTCGGTCGACTTACCTTCCTCGGACTTTGATTTAAGAGTAAGTTCACCGCCTCCGGCAATATTCTTTCTCCACTATTCTCATCTCGAAGCTGCATTCTGAAAGACTTTTCCACCCGGTGTTCTTCGACCGCGGAGGAAAGTGGAACGACGGCGGTATGAAATGTTGCTATTTTCTATTATTGCCTACGAAAGACACTCTAGGAATCGAGGAGTGCGTGACGTATCGTATAATACACGGTGGGCAATATTGCTCTAGATAGAGAGCGACACGATAAGGGAATATTGTGGAGCATCGAGGAACCGTGGTAATATAGTTAGGGAGGCAATTTCACCAGAAGGTTTTGCGGATAGAATCGCGGCTTGAAGGTGGAACGGAAACAGGATCCTTTTTCCAGAAAATACCCACGTCAACTTGCCCCCGTGTAAACTACGGTACACCAACGAGTAACCGATCAGACGAAATGAGGTGTCAAAATCGAGTTTCGAAAAGGAAAACCTACTTCGGATATCGGAAACCACGCAGGGATAAGGAGAACCGTGTGTAGTGAATAAAGAAGAGAGGGGAAAGGTGGAGGAAGATACAGGAGACGAGAGAAACGAGAGGAAGATTTATCGCGCTATGAACTGGCTAAACGAAAACTGTCGGAGCGGAAATCTATCGAAATTCCTTTATCAAAATTCGCTCAAGGGGTTAGAACACCCCTGAGACCTGAAAATAATATCTAACTTTGGTATCTTATTCTTCTCTTTAGGGAAATAATTCAGTCGACAGAAAAGTTGTCGCCAGGGTTTTATTATGTTTCGGAAGTGACGTGGTGTAAAAATAATTATTGCACTAAGGTTGCTTAACAAAAATATATTTATTTAAATCAGATTACGCTTAAACTATTTTTAAAGTGTACAGGCGACACATAAAAAGCCTCGTGCGTTTTTCGGGACTCCCTTAAGTAGCCCCTTTTTCCCTGGGAAAGTCCCAGGAAGTGGGGGCGCGGTCCTACATAGCCAAGGCGATACTCTTGTCCTCGAGGACGAAGAAACCTTCTCTCGATTCTTCGCCTCGAGGGCCAAAAGTCGCCAGGCCTAGGTACGTAGGCCCCCCGTGGCGGTCGCCACAATGTTATCTCTTGAAGAGTGTGGAGGTATTTTTTTTTTGGTTAATTTCTTTGCAAAATGGGAAATTACAGTTGGTTCGTTGAACTTCTTTTTCGACTTGGAACAGATAAGGGAATATTGTGGAGCATCGAGGAACCGTGGTAATATAGTTAGGGAGGCAATTTCACCAGAAGGTTTTGCGGATAGAATCGCGGCTTGAAGGTGGAACGGAAACAGGATCCTTTTTCCAGAAAATACCCACGTCAACTTGCCCCCGTGTAAACTACGGTACACCAACGAGTAACCGATCAGACGAAATGAGGTGTCAAAATCGAGTTTCGAAAAGGAAAACCTACTTCGGATATCGGAAACCACGCAGGGATAAGGAGAACCGTGTGTAGTGAATAAAGAAGAGAGGGGAAAGGTGGAGGAAGATACAGGAGACGAGAGAAACGAGAGGAAGATTTATCGCGCTATGAACTGGCTAAACGAAAACTGTCGGAGCGGAAATCTATCGAAATTCCTTTATCAAAATTCGCTCAAGGGGTTAGAACACCCCTGAGACCTGAAAATAATATCTAACTTTGGTTTCTTCTTCTTCTCTTTAGGGAAATAATTCAGTCGACAGAAAAGTTGTCGCCAGGGTTTTATTATGTTTCGGAAGTGACGTGGTGTAAAAATAATTATTGCACTAAGGTTGCTTAACAAAAATATATTTATTTAAATCAGATTACGCTTAAACTATTTTTAAAGTGTACAGGCGACACATAAAAAGCCTCGTGCGTTTTTCGGGACTCCCTTAAGTAGCCCCTTTTTCCCTGGGAAAGTCCCAGGAAGTGGGGGCGCGGTCCTACATTGCCAAGGCGATACTCTTGTCCTCGAGGACGAAGAAACCTTCTCTCGATTCTTCGCCTCGAGGGCCAAAAGTCGCCAGGCCTAGGTACGTAGGCCCCCCGTGGCGGTCGCCACAATGTTATCTCTTGAAGAGTGTGGAGGTATTTTTTTTTTGGTTAATTTCTTTGCAAAATGGGAAATTACAGTTGGTTCGTTGAACTTCTTTTTCGACTTGGAACAGAGTATCAAAAATGTTTGTTATCTGTGTACAAATTACTGTACAAGTATGTAGGATTTTTTTTTTAAATATTGATGTTTGTGGAAATGGTGTATACACTACCGGCCAAAAGTTTGTGATCACTGTGCATTGCGTTGCATAAAAATTTCCAGAAAAAAGTAAGCAATTTTAATGTTACATTTTGTTGTTATATTTATTAGACTATTCTTTTACATTATGAGACGACGTACAATACAAGGCATAAGACTTTAGACTGACTCGTCTAGGCGACCCACGCGGCCACAGGCCCTAAAACAAAGGACCGCGACTACTTTGTCATTGCTTGCTCGACTCTCAACATTTAAGAACTTTTTAACGAATTTTTTATCGTTCAAATCAATCGAAATGAGGCAGTGGAAATACTAGCAGTAGATTCAATATTGATGTAAATTCACAAGTGATTCCAAATTTTTGGCCGGTAGTGTACATGAAGGATGCATCGCATTTTTTTAGTTAAAATTTTAGTACGAAATTGTTGATTGTAGAAAAATGTTTCGATATATTGCAAAAGTCCTATCTTGTGAGAATTTGAGGTGAATCGGATGGGAACTGTAGAAGTTGTGGGCGAACGCGGACTTTAAAAATGTCATTCACGAGACAAACGCGTTTGAAGCTTCGACTACTGATTGACGCGGTGGACGCGCTTCGTTAAATCGGCTCTAATGGCATAAAACCATAAAATTTTTCACTAAAACTATCTGCGTTAGATTTTCGAAAACCCTGAAATACAAATTTAGAAAATGGAGAAGATTTGAGAAAAATGTTGAA